CCCCGAACAGCGCCTCCATCGGCCGCGCTGCGCTGCGCGGTTGGACCAAGCGAGTGGTGGCGTCGAGCGGCCGAAACAACGTCCGTTGGACCGTGAAATGATCCCGGCAAGAGAAACCCAAACGGTGTGTCTAAAGGTCTAAGGTCAAAGGTCTAGAAGAAACCCCGAGTTTGGGGACAAAGATGGGAACGAACTGGTTTTGTAGTGTAGAAACTAGTAAAACAATAGTGGTTGGAAGCCTAGGCTCCGTGCTGGAAAAAGGTCGAGCCGTGATGGAATGCTGTCTATCAGTCCGGTGGTGACGGATTGGATGGGATTGATTGGTCTCAGACTCTGATCTTCTTGTCATTTTGGTTCTCTTGAAGCTAATCTCAAATTTGGTGGCCAGTGGCCATCCAATCAATCAAATGAAGTAATGATTAAATATCAAAAATATCCTGTCCAATCCAATATCCAACTGTGTGCCACTGACAGGGCCATGCTTTGGGGAGTCCACACATGCGAGATTGTGCGAGCAAAATCACTTTCACAATCCAAACCAAGTGCGGTTCAGGCGGCCGACAAGAGCTTATAGGCCCAAGAGAGCAAGGCTGAATAGTGCCTCCAGCGATGGATCTGCCAAAGAGTTCAAAAATGCGCAGAATTGGCATGCAAGTGACTGCAAGACTTGTACGACTTCGGAGGGTTTGGAACCCAATGTAAACGCATGAAACCAAAGCTAGCTATCATCCCTTTGCACGAAGCTGCAGGAAGCTCCATGGCTGTGGGGGTGCACCACAATACTGACCGGCACCAGGAGGTGGTGCCTGGTCGTTCGCTACATGGTGGACTGGTCGGGCTCCAGGTTTTGACCCATCCCAACATTTACCAACTTAGGTTGAAGAACCCTACATACTCAGCCTATAGACTATCCTATAGTTAGCCCAGTAGGGCCTAGGGCCCTATAAGGTCACTTAACCTCTGTTGGTAGGTCTTCCCATGTTTCCTCCAAGCACTGTGGACTTGATCCCAGTTCCGTGCCCAGGCCGCCTGCAATTCCCGCGGGGGTCGCCACCTGCAATTCCCAGAGCATGGGAATTGCAACTACATCAACTTACCTCCTCGTAGACTCTTGATTAATAGATATCCAAAAGAGGTTTTACCATCCATCGAATCAACCTGAGAGCTTCGACCTGCATCGGGTCGATCAGGTGGAGACTGTCCGAAGTCGATGGGGCGGTCCGGGCGACCCGAACTCGCCCGTTCGACTTCGGACTGACAATGCCCGTTCGGAGGGGAGAAGTCCGTCCAAAGATGCCTAAAGGAAGTTCCTAGACTTATTTATATAAAGGAAGATCCTGGACGTCCCAAATACGCCCCAAGAGTCTAGGAACTTCCTTTACTTATGTTGACCCACAGAAGTAAAGGAAGTTGGAGGACTCGGGTCACCAATTGGTCAACTGGTCAACTGGACTCCCAAGTCATCTACAGGCATCAAAGATAGGCATCGACCGGCACCCTGTGAAGCTGCTGTTTTGGCTCCAAAAAGAGGTATGAAAAAACGGGTGTTTCAGATTGTGAGCACTGTCCTGTAGCCAAGTCGGCCGGCTAACCTGGTCAAATGTCGTGAATAGAATTGCACTCCATGTTGCCGGGATGCCTTTCCCAAAAATGAGAACCAACAACACCTGGCCACAGATGTCTCCTCACGAAACGACCCCACCTGCCACATGAACCCCTGCCCGGGCGGCGAGCGAGGCACAGGTGAGCAGCAAAGCCTCTACTTGAGGCCATTGCCTGAAATGCCACTCGGGCGGCCGGAACCTGAAAACCTGTCTCCCACTGGACTCAGGATGATTGGACCGTGGATGGCAGTAAACCTATTTCATATTGTTTCATGGTCCGAACTTGGGGCCACTTTCATCCACTTCCAGGTCCGGTCGCTTCGAGAGTATCAGTTCTGCCCCTTCGTTTGCTTGGAGCCCTGCGGATGAAACTTGTGACGACCTGGCGGATGGAGGTGGCGCGATCGGGGGGAGCGACGCGGGGTGTTCGCGCGTGCTGGAGCCCCAAAACCAGGTGTTCCAAGCCAAATCACACTGTGACCGGTTTTGGTCCGCCTAGGGCCGCTTCTCCGGCTTCCCCTCGATCGCCCCGCCTCGTCCACTCTTGCCACACATGGCCAGGCGAGTGTAAAGCGCCCAAACCACGTCAGAGGCACTCAGCAGGGGCGAAGGCCTCATCTGATTGGGGGTCCCTTTGTCCCATCCAAAGTCCCATCTGCGAGGAACATCAAGCATCAAAACGAGGCGGGTCGCAGAGGCCAACAGACCTGAGAAAGGTCAAAGAAAGAAAGAAGGGTCTAAACGAAAAGGTCCCTAAAAGAAAGCAAGAGAAAGAGAAAGAGGCCAAACGTCTGGATTACGTCCAAGACCGTCTGACCTGTGTTTAGCTTCCGGTCCCAGTGGCAGAGCCGTCTCCTGCGCAACTGTGCTGCAGTCCGAGGTTCGACCCCAACACCGTGGTGCTTGGAATAGATAGAACTTGGACCGACCCAAATCAGGCGTGGCCCAATTCCTTTTTGTGATCAGCTGCTAGCTAGCACATCCTAGCACCTGAGGTAACACTCTTCGGCCATTCCTCTGGGCCCCCGGGATAAAGCTCCTCATAGGCGCCCATCAACCGCTGCGCACTCACGATCGCGCAGCCCAAGGACCTGGGACGGGCGCCCGGATCCTCTTCAGCGAGGGGAGCGTCGTTGGAGCGTCCAATGGAATGAGGAGAAGTCCTTTGGGGCGTGAGGTGTTCCCAAGGCCTGTACCTTCACAGCCCACGTATTGTCAGGCCTCTTTTGTGGGGGGGGGGCAGGAAATGTTCAGCCCAAGGTGGGCGGCATGGAAGAGGCGACCATGGCTCGCTTTTAGGCAAGCATGCGGCATCACGCACACAGTCGTCAAGACTGGATTTGAAACTTTGAAGTTTAAACGTTAATCTTCTTGGCATGAAATTACGCCAGCCAGGACCTTCTCAGTGACCTCTTCAGGATTGGTAAGTGACCTCATTCTGGGATCTGGGAAGGTCCTGGAGCATAGACCACACATGCAGCTCTTCCATGCTCTTCCTATACTTGAAGTAAGAACCCCAATAGCTCATGCTATCTAGGGGAAAAAATAGTTCCATGTTTGTGGTCTGCGCTCGTCGCGCGTGGCCTGTGGCTCCCCACGATCCAGCAAGCTCGAGGGTCCCCAAGCCTCGCAGCAGCCGCGCGAGGGCATGGCCCACGGGAGTCAAGCAAGCCTGGGACGGTGTGGATGGGAGACAAGCCTGGTTGAGCAGGGTGGATGTTTACTGTTTACTCTTGAAGCAAGGTGATTCTCATGGCGTCTAGAAGGGCAGTTGCGCGTATGGTGGGATGATTGCATCCTTCTGGAAGGTGAATGTTATGCAATTTCAAAGCTGGAGATGGGATCTGTTTCATGTCATTCCACAGCAAGCTGGAGAACTTGTGTGAAGTGCAAGCTGGGAAGTCCCGCTCCTGGATAGTGCAAGCCTGGCTTTACAAATCCCCGACTAAGAAAGAAAGAACCGTGTCCGGCACACACAGAAGGCGCCCACTCCTGCACAGGCGGAGGGATAGTTTATGCTCACCTAGAAGGCGTAGGTTCAGCTTATTGGAGTTGCTGGTTATTGGAGTTCCTGGTTCTGCTTATTGAAGTTCCTTCTCTTCTCTCAAATGCACAAACAAAGATCTAAGCGCCGAAGCACTGGTTCATCGCATCAACCACTCCCGGGGGAGTCCCCGGGCCCCCGCATCGCTGCTCGCCGATCGCTGAATGACCAGTCACCGCATCGCTCGGCAAGGCGCAAATCCGCAGGGAGAGCCTACCAAAAAGGGAGGGAAGGAAAGGAGAGAAGGGAGGAGAAGGCATCCGTGACGCATCCAAAATCTTGGTGACAATCATACTCAGTAATTAATAAATATTAAAATTATACTATATTATATTACATTGACTATATTATACAGTATTATGTGTTATATATATATATATTATGGTCCAGTGAGCTTGTTTTGTTTTATTTTGGCAATTCTCAGCACATGAAGTTTCGGTTTGCTTCGGATGTCAACGCAGGCCTTCACCGTGCAAGGTCTCGGCCGCTCAGGCTCTCCTTTTTCTCTACTTCTCCTTTGGCGGCCCCTGGGCCATAAACTCCAACGGTATCCGTACCTCCTCCTTCGCCAGCACACCCCCGGGCTCAGCCAGGAAGCGCAAGGACTCGGGCAGCGTGGACTTCAAGGCACCGGGTCCCAGAAAGCCCAAGGACCGGATCGACGGTGCCGGCGTTCGATCGGGACCATAGACCTCCCCCGCCACGGAGCCGGCCACGCCTCCGTCGCGCAGGGCGAGGTCGTGCGCGACCTCGGCGACGAGGCAGAGGCGCCCCGTGAGGCCCGGGGCGGTGACGTAGGGCGGTTGCCGGTACTTCTCATGAGCTGCCAGTTGTGCCACCACTCGGCCAGTGAGCAAGGGGCTCTCCGCCACCTTCTCGAGGTCTTGCTCGCCCACCATTTGTTGCAACATCGCGGGATCCTCCCGAATGCGGCGTTGCACCTCCTCCGTCAGAACGATGCCGGGCCAGAGTGAGACGCAATCCACACCAAGGGGGCCAAGTTCCACTTGCAGATCCCGCATCAGACGATCCGTTGCTGCCTTGCCCACTCCATATGCAGTTGTGAACAGATATGTCACGCCACCAAAGGAAGAGGTTGCACAAAGGAGCGGACGTCTAGGAGGATCGGCTCGAGCTGCAGCAAGGAGCATTGGAGCTGCATAGTATGAGGCGACATAATGCGATCTCAATCCCACGTTCTGCACGTCATCCCATACCGACAGAGGCAGCTCGTAGAACTTGGCGCCTTTGGACATGAGTTGATTCACCTCTGGATTCGAGGCTGGACTCTTGAAGGCGTTGTTCACCAGGATATCCAGCTTCCCTGAGGTTTGCTTGGCAATCTCTTCAAAGGCACGCGCCACCTGTGCGTCATCACTGTGGTCGCACAGCACCGGCACACCATGCCCCCCAGCACGGGAGACCAGCTGTGCCGTTGTTTCAAGCACCCTCTGGTTGCGACCGGTCACGAAAACCGTGGCCCTGGCCTCTCCAAGCCCCAAGGCCACACCTTTCCCAATCCCACGCTGGGCGCCGGTGACCACGGCAAAGCGCCCTTCCAAATCCTCCGCGGCCCAGGCCGCAGGTGCCGCGAGATCCAGCGACGGCCACAGCGCTGTGACCCCGCGCAGCAGCTGCGCCCTGGAGTTCGAGCGAGCGCCTGGAGCCGCCGCGCGCGCCGTGCACGAAGACACTCGGCGCATCGCTGCGGGAACGGCCAGGGCGGCGAGCGTCACGGCCCAGTGCGGTGCCTCTCGGCCTGGCAGCTGGGGCGCCTGAGGAACAGCACAGGGAGGTGAACTAGGAGAACATCCCTCACTCACACAAAAAAACAATTCGGCATGCGTGGACACTTCCTCCTCCATGGGTTAGCATAGACAAGCGGTAGTGGAAATGGTGTTCCTTTTTGCCTTCTGCACTCGCCCACATCTGCTTCATCAACGCTGAAAACATGCCAGACAGGCGATACCTTCTCCTACTTAAAGTTGAAATCCTGGGACATCGTGAGATGTGGAAGACCCACTATTTGCAATCCTCCTGGAGGTTTCAACGGGGGAGAGAGGCCCAGTTCGCCGTGATTTCCCCAGGCCCCGCCGGTCGCGCCACCTCGATCGCCCGACGCGGCGTGCAGCGCGGCGGAGCCACGGCACCTGGGGTGGAATCAAGGGAGTCAACAGCTTCTTTTTTCAAAGAGTAACGCTACTGACGCGTTAGCTACTGACGTTGGAGGCCAGAAGCTACGAGGTTGGAGGCCAGAAGCCACGAACGTCACAAGAAGCTACGAACGGGAGAAGAAGACATTCACTTCTAGTCCAGAACTTCTGGAACTTGACTGAACTACCCCACCTGGGACATGGTGAGGCAAAATGAGTCGTGACTGAATGTGTCTCAAGGTGATGAGTCATCACTGTGTCTCAGTCCGTGAACCCTGGAGTCAGCCTAAAGTCAGCGTTCGCTCAAGTCTTGATGTCAAAAGTCAGCGTTCCATGTGAAATGCACTATATATATATATATATACTAGATAGACTACATTCACAGGAGATAGATCATTGGTCATGTGGAGACTCTCAAACGAAAGGGCCAGCGAAAACCACCCCCAACGTCTCCTTTGCTCATGTCGTGCTCTCATGTCGTCCAAGCGGCCGCGGTATCGGACGAGGTCCAAGGGCGCAGCGAATCCTCTGGGGCCCAACGTGGGCGCGGTCAAGCAGAGGACGAGGCCAAACAGGACAAATCTGAAGCACCTGAATGTTCTGAATGTTCTGAACAGCACCGCCATGGCACGGCGGAACGCGCTCCTGAAAGGCGCCTTTCAGGACAGACACATAGGGGAACCAAGCTCCAGAAAGAACGGATTCTGGGACGTCCCAAACAAAGTGTATCGAACATGTCCTTGTTCCTTTCCTCTGCTTCCTTGATGAAAACCCAGCTGAAATCTGCAAACTTCCAGAAGAAATCCGCAAAATGACCCAACGACAGTGCGACTGACTTAAGACTTCCTAACTCCACTTGAGAAAGCACTCCGTGGGGCGGCCACAAAAGCCTTTCACCAGCACTCAGGGCCATCATGCGCTGTGAAGACCAGAACCAGCTCAGGTGGATTTGCTGGGTCGGCCAACGCTGCCCTGGAACCTCAAGTGAGCTTGCATGACCTGAATTTGCTCAGGAAAAAAAGGAAGCCGTTTCATGCCATGTTCACGACCATGACCGCCAGAGGGCATCTCCAATGCTCATGCCTTACGCTTTTACCACTCCCTTCGACCCCAGCCGTTCCACTTCGCACCTCCTCCCGCTCCGCGCTCCGCGCTCCGCGGATCCGCGGATCCCAACCTCTCCAGCAGCTGCGCGGAAGCCTTTTGCTTGGCAGCCCAGAGCTCCAAGCAACGAAAGCCTCGAGCACCGAGCGAGAGCAGTCCACCGCTTTACTTTGCCTCCGAGAGCGTAAGCGAAGAGCCGAAGAGACCGAAGAAGAGCGGAAGCAAAAATACAAGTCTTGAATCGAAGCAACAAAACCAAAGTGGCACATCCAAAAAAGAAAGTGATGATGTAGATTCACCTGAAGTATGAGCAAAAAAGATGCATCTGTGTCTTATGAATCCCACTGTTGTAGTTCTTCACCCTGCCAGGAATTGGCCGGGAAAGCTTCCCATCCTTCTACTGTATGCATCTGTGGCACTGTCATCATCACCATCGTCCTGGTGCAAGAAATGTTCGCTTTCAGATGCTACACAAACATCCACCAACGATATCAGTGAAATATATAAATAGAGGCTAGAGGTCCCTAAATAGATATATAGAAACACTGAAACACTGAAACACTATGAAACAATGTCCAATACATGTTGAAATGGATTTTACATGGTTATCTATTTGGGTGTCAATATAGTTATATAAGTCATGTTAATTCAAATTTTGCAGCAAACACAACTTGGTCCAAAACGCCGAATAGTTCCGCTGGGATGTTCCACTCGGTACCGGTTGCCTGCTCTGTCGCCGGTTGCCTATCTGAGGGTCACCGTGCCACACGACGAACTCATCGCCCCATCACTCCGTCACCCCCACGACGCAATTTAGGAGCAGACCTGTAGACCTGTAGACTGTAGTCATACCTTGGTCGTAGACTGCGTGAAACTCGACCAAACCGAACCCTTAGGGTTTTTCGGAAACGAGGCAAAGCGGCAAAGCGCCCCGTGGACACCAGCGACCCCACCTGGCACGACGGAAGTCCGTGCGCGCTCCGCTCCTGGGGAAGCTCCGACCAGCTCAGCAGCACCTCGAGCACCGAGGCCTCGACGACGCTGCGGTGGTCGCTCCGCGGTGGTCGCTCGGAACCAAGAACGAAACGCTGCCGCAGACCGCTCAGGACACGGTCGACTCAAGGGATGGAAAGGGATGGAACATGAAAAAGGCGAACGCAACAGTATTTCTCCGTGAAAAGCGAACAGTGTTCTTACACATACAAAAAGTGTTTTCTTCACATGAAACTGTTCTCATGTGGTACACGTCTGTCTGTTCTGGTTCTTGCCAACCACCTACCTCCCTGTACTCCTTGATGACACGAAGGCATTGACAGTCAACTCATGGCTTGAAAGCCGCTGCTGAACATGGGGATACTTCTCCCCACAAAAGAGGAGACCCCAAAGCATAGCCGAGCCAACTGCGAACGCGATCAACTTCAATCCCCCAAACACACCAGTCCAACCAGTCCAAAACGGACCCCTCAAAAAACGCCGCGATGCGAAACGCGGCGTAATCCGTGCGGTTCGCCTAACAGCGATGGCCTCCAACCTAATAGAAATGGCCTCCAACCTATATAATAGCAATGGGCTCCAACCTACTAGCGATGGGCCGCCAACCTATTAGCGATGGCCTCGCCTGCAAGGACCCTTCCAAGTCTGCCTGGCGGTCTGAGATGCGGCTGAGGGCTGAGGGCTGAAGGAGGATTGGAGAAAAAAGGCCGCTGAGGGCTGAAGCTCTTGTGAATTGAAAGCTTTGTCTGAAAGATGAGCACTGAAAAACATGTTTAAGTAGACTCTTGATTGGTCGACCTTCAAAGAAACAGACATGGATTGAAAAGCCTCTTCATACATGGGGGGGTTGAATTATCACGATCAAGGTTCAATCGAATCTCCGGCCCATGTTTTCTCTCCTCTACCCGAACCCCCGGAAGGCTCCCGGCTCACCTGACAAAGCTCCTCCATGAGCTTTGCCATTCGCACGGGCAGCTCTCCAATCCCTTGAGAGCATGGGAGAACGATCTCGTCTCGGTGGCCGACAGGGAGTCTGCATGGTCGTTCGACCATGCATTCACCATCGAAAGCAACGGACCGCATGCATGCATGCCTATCCATTCGAGATAAATTAATTCATTATTGAATCATGTCTACACATGGCACATGTCTACAGATCCGTTTGAAGAATCTCTCTCTGCCCTTGAAACTTGAAAGAGAACGCAAATGGACAGCAATGGCCTAAAAGCCTAAAAGCCTTGACATATCATGGAACACTCAAACATTGCCAAAAACCACAAGCTGGCTCGTTGGTGCAGGTGGTTGCCTTGGTTCTGCTGCATCCATTCTATCACCTCCGGAAGGCAGGAGACTACCAGCCTGGCTCAAAACCACAATGACAAAGCAAGTGAGCTGCCCCAACAACTCCCTCTTCTGGACTATTCAATTCTTCAAGAGATTTCAAAATCCACAGCGGTACTGGACCCCTGCATGTGCCTGTAACCGTAAGAGAATTGCGTCCTGGCAAGGCCAGTCAGTCTTACTCAGAATTCTTCATCTTCCACGGCAGACATTCTGCGCCTTTGCGTTGCTGCGCTTCGGAGCTCCTGCGGGAAGCAGAGTGAAGCACCCCGGACTGAGACCAAGCCATTTGGCAGCATTCTCCCACTAAGGCCAGCTACTTTGAGCCAGATCAACTCCTTCGGAAAAATGCAGAGGTTGGGAGGCCCGCTGCGAATGCGCGCCGGCCGAAATCAAACAGCTTTCGGAATCTTCTGGCATCATCAATGGCACTAGCCGCCTACTGAGAGATCGTTACACTTGAAACCACGCCCCCTTCGACTGCGGCAGCTCCTTCCCCAAGAGCTCCAAGACCTGTGCTGCCCCTGCTGCCCGCTGGGTCAGATCCGCCAGATCGACGCACTCGGTGCTGGGCGTCCTCTCCCTCTCCTGCCGGCAACCGCAGGGCTTTGCTCTCATCAGTCCAGGGCACAGGGCGGGTCCATCAGGGTCCAGCAAGTCGGTCCTCGCATCGATCCTGGACTCGGACTGGCGCCATGTCTGTCCTTCGGTCCAAGACTGGCGCCATGTCTGTCCAGGACCGCCGAGCTGCCGAGTGGATGACCAGTCGCCCAAAGGGTCGAAAGAGGTTCGACTTCTGATCGTTGACCGGGGGGGTAGAAGATCATCCAAAAGTGGGGTGTGGCGGTGTGGTCTCATCTTCCACCAACGATTCTCTGGTATAAACAAGCAAGGACCACGCCAGACAGCATCGCCGCGCGGCATCGCACCAATGCAGGCGGCAGGCGTCGGGTCCGTTCGAAACGTGAATCAAGTGGAGGCCGCCTGTTTCCCCCGCCCTCTGCGAGGAGAAGGGGGCTGTTACCCGGAACCCGGAACCCGTCTCGAAGCCCGCTTGGCACGGTCTCGGTCTCCTGGAAGTCCAATTCCAGGCCACCCAACTGCACGAAGCTGCCCCCCTCCAGATGCTGCCGAATTTCAGACCCAGAGAGAGTAACCAGTGACCTCCTAGGCCCCCGGAACACCTGGGGTGTTACCAGGTACCTAACTGGGGGATAGTTAGTAACTAGGGTTCTTCAACCTTGGAGGTGAGATCCCAAGCCTCTTTTGAAAGCACCTCAAAGCAACCCCCCAAAAAACACCGTGCCTGGTGAAGAGTGTTTCGGTCCTGGAACTCCCCCCCCACCCATGTGGGGGCGTGTTTGGGTGGCTTGGAAAACGGACCCCTTGCAAACTGGAGGCTCCAAGGATTCTGAGCTGGAACATCTCGCTTCTTTGGAGAACTTCTGGGTGCGAAGGCAAGAAGACCAAGCTGGGTGCGAAGGCGGTAGCTCTGACGCCTGGTTCCCAGGCAATTGTCAGGGGTTTTTGGGGGGTGAGCTGACCTTCCGCCACACTGACATCCTCTTGCGGAGCGCCTCCAGGAATGCTAGCAAAAGGGGCAGCTCAGCAGGAAGAGCACCTGATGAGCTGGTGGAATCACCCGATTCCCCTTGCTGCAAATGTTACGTGGACTCTCAAAGCCACAAAAATGGTCGAAACCACGAGGTGGTCTTCGATCATGGTCCATGGGCTCTAGTTTGGTCCATCTCTCCCCAGTGATAACTGTGATAACTGCTCAGCAAGGTTGGAACCTGCTCATGACCTTTGCTGCCCAAAAGTGAAATGCCGAACCCATCCACACAGCTACCCTACCCCGAACAAATGTGGAAGTGGACAACCTTCGGTTTCTAGAGGAAAGTCATCTCCTTCCACCCAGGCGACATCCACCCACATCCACCGGTCGCGTTCGAAACGCCACCGCCGGGGCGGCCCAGGCGCCTCCATCAAGCAGCGCGCGGGGTGTCGGGATCCGCCACCGCCGCGGCGCCCCAGTGGTGCCCTGATTGGAGACGCGGAGGAACACTGGAGCAGTGGAACACGGGATGTGGACTTCAAGAGTGTTTTCCCTTGAAATGACCTGAAAACTGTCAGTGTCCGTGTGAAACCCGGGCCTTCTGAAGGTTGGAGGTCGTGATGTCAGGGCCCCCCAAGCATGGTTGGGGTAGCAGAACCCCATGCTGTTTCACAAAGGTGCTCCGACTCGCCAAGGAATCATCTACTAAGTATGACTCATTCACCATTCAAGTAGTAGATAATTATGTATCTTACAGATCTCAATCACGCCTGGCCGACTCTTCTGCCCCAAGCAGGGGTATATCATGGACACCAAGAATGATCCAAAATTGATTTCGAGGTTTGCTCTGTCCTCTGGTTCCGTCCCTTTGTATCCCTTCGTTGCTTGGACCTGCTAAGGCTCAAGGACATCCAGGGACGGGGTATATAGGTTGTGAAATCAAGGTATATATCTATCGTCTTTCTCAACCAGTTCCATGATGTTCCATGTATAGAAGGTCGCCTGGTACGCCTCTTTTGGCTCCCAGCAAGAATCACTTGTTTTTTGGCAGCTGTCTCGGCTTCTTCAGTGGACACACACACACACATCACACACCTCCTGCCCAGTCTTGGCAGCTCCGCCCAGTTACAGTTCGCCGTACAGACTTGGCAGGAGAAATAGACTCGCAGCAACCAGGGCCGTGTTTGCCCTGTGCAAGGGACCCGCATCGTTGCAGTTGACGTCACATCCATTGGCGCTCGCGGAGTTGCATGCGGCCTTTTGGGCATCGAAGCACGAGGTGCTCACCTCCACCTCCGGGCAGTTGTCACACGACTTCCGCTCGGAGCTGCGTGTCGGATTGCTGCAATACATGTGGCACTTCCAATCGTCACAGGACCAGGAGGCAAAGTCCCACGTATTCGGATCAGGACATCGTGCGGCCTTGTTTTGATCGAAGAGGAAACCTTCACCCGGTGACTCGCATTGCGCAATACCCTGGGACTCCTCAGTGCTGCAGCCGTCATACACAGCATCAGCCATGGTCAAAAGCAGCATCAACCAACCATTGAAAAGCATCGCTTTGGATGACCCCGCTCACAACAAATCACGGATCTTGAGGCAAAATGGCATCTCAGACTCTGTCTCTCGAGACATATTTGGCTGTGGGTCATGGCATTTCTGACCGACCGAGCACCACCTACCACCCTGGACTGGTCGGGCTCCGGAAGACGCATCCCATACTCATGCCTGGATCCAACCTCCATACTCCGCAACAAAAGAATCAAACCGAGCGATGTCACACAAGTTGTCTCTGTCTGGGCTCCAAAGTTGGTCTTGGACTGGAGCCCCATGGTTTTCGCATGCTCCAACATCGCCCCACAAACGAGAGGTGCCTGGTTGAGGAGCAGTGCCACAAGCTCCCCCAAGAACGTGGTCCGGTCAAAGGCCTCTGTGAAAGCCATGCCAACGATAAGCTCAGCAAGCATCATGAAGGTGTTTGAAGGGCCAACTGAAATCAGTTCACTGTGGGAAAGCTCGAAGCTTTGGCACAAAGCTTTGGCACAGCTCTGGTACCACCATCGCGAAAGCGGAAAGAACACGCCAAGATACGGATTTCCGTCCCAACATCAACCCATCTCAACCCCCCCTTCCCCACACCGATCATGTCACGACCCGACCCTCGGCGCCGGCCTCGATCTTCAAGGCCTTCGCCTTCCGCAACACCGCCTTCGCGCAGCTGCCGAGCGCTCGGGCAGTCTCGCCCACAGCCGCGGACGGTGACGCAGCCTCGTGGGAAGACAGTCACCCCACCGGGCCGCCATGGGGTTTTCAGGTGTGGTCCTGCTTTTTGGATGATCCAAAACCGGTCTTCCTCAAATCCTACTTGAGATGAACAGTGGTTTTCCTCCTGATCTGCCGGTTTTGGGGATGGTCCATCTGCTGTCTACTTGACGATGACTACAGGGCACATCGCAAGAACCTGAAAAGAAGAGAATAAAGGGTCGTAGTAGGTTCTCTACGCTTCCCCCTATATGAGTGTTCTTTTCCTTGAGCGGCCTTGCACGTGGTGATGCATACCACGTACTAATCCTACTATCTATGACTACTGCCAACATCGAAATCTCAACACACCCTCCCTCCCACGACCCCTGTGGCCCGCCGGCCTCCCCTCCCCCTTCTTCGCACCTCGCTCGAGACCACGCGCGCCACCTCTTGGAGCTTCTGGGCGACACGCGTCAGAAAGGCCTGCGCCCGGTCGGTACGTCCGGCGCCCAATGGGGTGGATGACCGTGAGACCGGAGCACAGTGGACATGACCGTGTTCGCTGTGATGTCATTTCATGTCGAATGTTACACAAAGAAGCGGAAATGAGCTGTGAGGCGTTGCTCCAAAATCACGTGCTAAGCATCTCTGAGGAGCCTCATCTCCTTCACTCCTGCGAAGGAGATGGCAGGAAGAAGATCCGATTATCACCGCGACCAGAAACTGGGCTGGGCCATGGACTTCTCTGAGAAATTCTCCACCAAGGCCATGTTCCTTCTTGGAATCAAGCACGGATCAAGCACCACCCCGAACCCTCAGGTTTCCTTGAGAGGAGCTCTGCCAAGCACCTGAGCACATGGTAGAGCACATGGCCGAAGAAAGGTACAGGGACTACCAGGGACTACAGTACCAATCAATCAACAACCTGCCGTCAACTTGTTTTTGCTGCAGTTTCATCTTCATCTCATGGTGGCCTTCCCATGGTACGGACCTGGGTCTCTTCTCTTCCCTTGGCTCCCCGACCCCAAGCTCGCGGCTGGCAGCTCCTTGGGTCTGGGCACCACTCCGTGCTCTAGCAGCTGGGAGAGCCTCAGGTCCAAGAGGTGCTGGGAGGAACTGCCTACACCCAAAACTTCTTCTTAAAAGCTTGCAGCTTCCGGTCAACCACTGGAGTGATACCACCACGAACGTGTATATAAGTGCGTATGTCCAAAAACCTCGAGCAGCGAGCGAAAGCATCAGTTCCAGAGACGTGAAGGTTCATGGCGCTTGGTCCACCGACGGCGCTCGAGGTCGCCGGGAAGGACCGGATCCGGGCGCAGTCTCACTGACTGGTAGACTCACTGGGTCACACGGGCACAGGCCTATAGGTAGGTCTTGGTCAGGTCACGAAGTTAAGGTCTTAGGTAGTGATGGGATGTTATAGCTTCACTTCAGCTGTCCTCCCTCCTTGGATTGCTCAGTGCACAGCCAAGACACAGCTCCTGGCTGGGCGTCAAAGGCACTATTGCGCTAACAGCACGCAGTGCGCGCAGGCGCGAAAGCAGCGGCGCAGGCGCAGCTCGGTGGCCTTGCATTGGGTTCTGGTTGGTTGGTGATTTCTAGGACGTGTACGCTCCGGAATTGATCTTCGAAGGGGCTACAGTAGCAGGAAAAACGCCACTGTCAGTTTCGAAGCACGGCAATCAGCATCCTGCATTGGTTGAGGGGCCGGTTCGCCATAAGAAGTCGCGACTTGCAGTCTTGCAGTCAGCTCAAACCCAGCCATTCATGATCCCATCCCAGGACCTGTAGCCATGCTGTGCTACATGCCTACAGGCCTAGTGAGAGTATCACAACACTGTGTCTGGTATTGTTCCGACAGTACATGTTCCGACAGTGAGAGATCACCTCGGCTGGGTCTAACCTTTGACTGAAACATCACCGCCGCAAAAGAAGTCCGACACTGGGCTGTCAAGGTGCGCTTCTTCCTGGTTGAGGCCAACTCCTCCTGAGCGGCAAAGTCTGCTTCAAAGCCACTGCGTTCTAGTCGATTCAGCCGTAGGTCAGGGATCAAGACCTTGAAAAGCATCGTGACCCCGAATCAGTTTAGGTTCCATGAATCCTGCCAAAACGCATAGCACATGTCTAAACGCTATGCATTCCATCTCCCGGTTCCTCTTCCAGCTCAGACCCGCTATCCCCTCCCAGTCCGTGTGTTAGAACAGCACAACTCTTAGAATCTGGACGTCTTCTCAGGGAGTCTACACGGCAAAGCACAAACCTGTGGGAAAAGCCACATGTCACAAAACCTGCGGAGTCCACTCTGCATTGAACAAAACAACTCAATCTGTGCTGTCGCCGGCCTCTACCTGGCGCTGGAGCCGGCGCAGCAGGGGCCCGCGCAGCGCCGGATGTTCCAAGAGAACCTCAGGACGCTCCCAACTCATGGTGACGCTTCGTGGCTTTGGCCAGCGAAAACCGTCACTGACTCCACCATCACAACCAGAAAACACCGCGAAACCGCACCGAACACCCCCGCGCCGCCCCCCCCAACAAACGCCCTGCCTTCTTCTGCGCCGCTCCACCGCGTTTCTCGCGACCCAAAAACGAAACCCGCGCCTCCACATTGGACCAGAGGCCGTGCCTTGGCTTCGCACCCGTGAATTTCACCCTCCAAAACCCTCCCCTCCGCCTTTCCACCGCGTGCCACTCGGAGTATCTCAGAAATCGGACAAAGTATGGTCCCTACCGTCCCTACCCGAGTCTCGTGGAGGTGGATGGCGAGGAAGGCTCTGTGTTTTCCCTGGAAAAGAGCAAGCGGGGGGTCTGCCATCCACACTTCCAGACCGTTTGCAGGGAGGGTGACCTTCCAACAGGTGGCTATCTGTGGCCCAATGAACGTCAAAATGGTGGCGAACCAATTGGAAGCTCCTTGAGGCAAGGCGCAATGCCTGTTCCTCGACGAAGAGATCCTGTTCCTGGCACGCGTGACAAGGAGACAGAAGCTGCTTCAGAAATGGCTCCAGTTTGGAACATCGCTGGCTAGCTCTGCCCAGATCCTTACATTGGTCAAGCATCGTCATCACATGATTCTAAATTCGACTTGAAACCATGCATGCCACCTGCGACCTTCCAACCCAATCCAACCCCAGATCTCCCCAGATCTCCCCCCAACCCCCCCCAACACCCGCTTCTTCCGGTCTCCAACGATCGCAGGGTGGCCTCCGGCAGCAACAGCTCCGCCAGCCGCTCCAGCGGCGCCGTCGTCCGCGGCCGCTTCCGCTTCCGGTCGGACGCGCTGGACGCGCTGGACGCGCAGAGCAGCGACAGCGGCAGCGGCGGCGCGACGGCGAGGCGCCGGGTCTGCGAAGGCGAAGAAGGGCAGAGGCTTTGCTCGGCCTGGTGGACACGGCTGAAAGGAGAGAAAGAGATGGATTAGATGGAGTGAGACATTATGGCGGGATCCTTCGACAGAGTCGATTTGTAAATGTGAGCATGCTGGTGCCTTGGGTGAATTTGAGGCCTCGACTGATGTTTCACGTGTGGTCCTTTCCGTCGAATTCATTCGGATGCCCGTCTTGTTTTATGGTCATCTCTTCATCTCTCAGGAACTGAGAAAAACTCTCCTTCTCCTCGAGAAGGACATTGACGAAGATCACACAGAAGGGCATGAATCAACCAATACAGCTAAAGAGGTGGCTACGCTACACAGCCTGACCTGAGCAACAGGCGCTCCTTGGCGGTCCTTGGCGGTCCAACTGCTGGGACCCGATCGACCGGCCTCCATCAGCAATGCCTCCAGCAGCGCCTCCAGCAGCACCGTAACGCGGGAGTCAGTCAGAGGTCTTCAGGGTTGGTTGGGCTCATCTCTCTTCATACAGCTTGGTATAAGAAGGTGGAGGATGGAAGCTTGTGGGATTGAATGATTCGATGACCACTATGGTCTACACATGCTACTTACATGCGATCCAGCTCCTTGCCCGAATGGGGCCATCTCAACCACCTCCCCTTGATTCAGAAGGTGAATTTCGTGACAATACATCCCGAAACCTATTGAAAACACTCGATGAGTATTCTGTTTGAACCGTCTAAAGGTATCACCAAAACATTGTTCTAAACTCTAAACAATTGAACTTCCATTGGAGAACCCAATTGATTGAGCTTACCACTTGAACTTGTGGAGAACTGCCACTTTCAATCGATTAACCGAATGATTAACCTTTGAATCCTTTGAACTGCAGGCGTTTGGAAGGTTTCTGGAATGTTCTGGATATGCTGTCGGGGCTCTTGCCGCCCGCCTCGTCGCCGGCCTCCGCAGCATCCCGGCGCGCCGCCAGGCATACCGCTGCAGCCTGGGCAGCGGCACTGTCCCGGAGGGGCTTGGTCGAACGCGGGAGCGGCCTGAACCAACACTGCAGGTGTTGGTTACACCTATTTTTGTTCAGGGGAAATGTTCAACGACGTGCATGTTTGTTTGGGTGTCATAGTTTTTCTGTCTTTCTCGTGCACTTGAGTGCGTCAGCCACTGTCAGCAAATAATGTGCCGACACAGCGTGCTAAGGATTTGGGTCAAACGATTCAGGGCATGTCGTGTGGTTCAGACCACGTGTCGGAATGGGGGAAGGCTTCATGTGGATGACTAACTTACTACGGTGAAAGAAAGCCAAATAGCTTCGAAGGTTCGGTGGATGCGGATGTTGCACTTTCCACCCCCGATCACTGCATAGCTGGAATCGAAAGGTGAGCAAAGGGGATACATTCGAGTCATTCGAGCACCGAATATATCGCTACAATAATCCGACAGCGTACCCCTTAGCTGTGATGATTCGGGGTGTCCATGAACACCACCCCGACTGGGGGTCCTGGTGCCGGCCTGCGCGGCCATGCCGCTGCGCGCCAAGCGCTCCAGACCCTGGAGACGAGGCCAGAAGCGGGCGGGTTCGGTGTCCATGAACGAAGTGACAAGAAGCTACGAAGTAGGGGCTCCTGGCATTACCACTAATAGCATTCTTACTACTAGCCAACCAGAAGCTACTAGGTCTTTGAAGCTACTAGGAGGTCTTGGATGCTATTAGGTGGAGGCCATCGCTCCTAGTAACAAGAAGCTACTGGTAAGATTGAGGCAGTCTGGACATCTCACCAAACGTCAGTTTTGGTGGCCCAAGGCCCCATGTCAAAAGGGCTGTGCATGCAGCTTTCGTGAAAAAAGAGGGCCGTGCTGTCGTGTTGGAGAGGTGCTTGCTGTCGTGCCATCAGTGGCGGAAGTTGCTGGTCATGCTGCATGCGGCATGTTACGCCGCTCCTTGGACTGATAGGTCTGTCAGCGTGAACATGATCTGTCACCGCCGACAGCTATGCCGAAATTGCATATCATATGAGTGTGAAAATCGTGAATTGCTTTAGGCAGGTCTTCTGCCTCTGCAAAGACACCAGACTTTCCATTCCACAAACTTCAGTATGGTACCATGGTGACCTTCGACAAGCACAAGCTGAAACTTTCCAGGAACACCAAAAAATCGAAACCGTAACTAGCACATATATCCTCACACTCTCGCACCATGCCATCTGCCATCCCTTCCCTCCCCTTATTTTTCTCACACCTCTAAGATCATCCAAGTCCATTCTCTGCTCCACATCGCTACTAGTAACAAGTGCAGCGCTACTAGTAACAAGGGCATTTCTACTACTTACCAGTATACAACAAGAAGCTACCAGTAACCAGTAACCACGATCGCACCTCGCGGCTCTTCCGCGCCGTGTCCTGCGGCTCCGCCAGCAGCGGCGGCAGCTCCCAGGAGCTGAGCCGGCGGCCCAAAGTGCACCTCGTCGGTGTTCGGCGCGTGCGCGAGTATCGATGGATGAGTTCTCACTCTGAACCTGGCAGGGTGCAGTTGGTCATGGATTCCCAAACACTGAGCCCAACTGCAAACAAACCATGTCTTCCAATGCGCTTTTGTTTCTTGAGCCCAAAAACAAGGTCTCAGATGCTAGAAGGGTCCAACGACCAATCCATTAGCTCCATCTAAAACAAGTCTCCCACGGTGCGTGAGGGGTTCTTCTTGCAGTCCGGGCCACAAAGCCAGTAGCAAGCCTTCCATGGCGGGTGATCCTTCAGTACCTGGCATGATCCGTAGGGTTTCAATGTGGAATCTTGATTGTTTATTTCAACCCCCCATCTCTCTCTCTCTCTCTCTATAACAACCCCCATACGAAGAGCGAGAGAGAGAGAGAAAGAAAAAACAAAAAAGAAAGAAAGAAAGAAAGAAGCCCCCTATGAAGATCTTTGACCAATTGCGAATGGGTTTCCTCGATGAACTGTTCGACCCCTGAGATCCCGAATCGAATAGGCCGAAAGCTCGCCGGTGTCGTGAAACACCGATGGCCATTGCGTCCGGGACGGAAGAAACGGAAGGACAAGCAGCCCTGCAAGGGCAGCTGTTGGTCCTCACCAAGTGGCCGGAGCATTTGGAGCGAGGTTTCTCACACCTTTTGGGCCCAACAAGCAGGCACCTACATACCTCCAGTCCTTTCAGATTCCAAAAAAGAAACAAGGCGGGACCTTCGACCAGCTCGTAGGTCTGGTGAAAAAGATCTCGCATGGCGTCCAAGCACCTTGGGCACGACTCTGTTCCGCATCACTGGACTGGCATCGGCCGAACCGCGACGAACCGAGGTGTTCGAGAAAAAAGGGTCAGCGTACGGGAAGTGTTCTCGAAAAAGAACCAACGACATGTGTGAAAATGCATGATCCTTCTTATTTCGAGAAGAAACCCATAAGAATCATGGTCAGATACAGACTGACCCCTAACAAAAATATCCAAAGAAAAAAGAACCTTGGGTGACCGAGCTCGCTCACGCTCACCCTCGCCACCCGTGCCGCTGAAAACCCCAGGCACAACTCGTTGGGCCGCAGCCCGGCCACGAAGGGCCGCAGGAGCTGCGCCGGCCAGGAGCGGGACTCGGACTCCGCCTGGCGAGGAGCGGGCCCGTTGTAAAACTACATGAAACCTGTAGCATCCTATATATACCTAGATCTTCCAACTGTGCAAAATGTATGCCCACTCCGGCCGGTTTTAGAAGTGAAAAGGTAGACATTTGGCCAAAGTTGGAAGGTTTAGTATCTTCCCCTTCGATGCCATCGTTGTAAGGTCTCGCGTTCTGGGATTTTCTACGGGGCACCGTGCCTGCAGGGGGGTCAGCAGCATCGTCCATGTGCCTGTTCTGCTGCGTCTCAGGTGGCTGAAGATTGGACGAACGAGATAAAGGAAAACCTCTGTTTAAAGCTTGAAGGAGAACGTTCTGCAGAATGGACTCTGGGCTTGAAACAAAAGCTATTTCTCTAGAGCGATGAAGCCGTACAGGCTCTTGCAAAAGGGGGCGGCCGCTAGTTTAGTGGGATTCCGACAGAGTACATCCTTTCTCCAGTGCGGATGAAACAATTGTAAAGAAACATCCTGAACTGCTCCATCGAATCGAAATTATCTCAAACAACCTGAGTCGTTGGTTTCACTGGTGTCCAAACATCCTTTTCATTGGCTTCAGGTTGTTTCTCAGGCTTCAGCTTGATTTTGTGTCCACTGTCCATCCAACTTGGTTGCTTCATGTTGCTTCAAGATTTTCTGCAGGCTCGCCTTGGTTTGTGCACGAGTTCTTCCAGAAGAGAACTCCACGCATGTGCACCCCCAAACACTGAAAAACAACACCGGTTGGGGTCGTGCCTTTTTCGTGCCTTCCATTCGGAATCGGTCCGATCTCAACAGTCCCGTGGCCAAACAAGCAACAGCCCAACACCACTTGGTGTTTTAGGCTCATGTGTGCCACCCAAAAACGGACCACTGGGTGAATGAACGGGAAAAAGACATAAGATCACATAAAATCACATGAGGTTACATCAGTACAAGTTTCAACCAGTTAGACGTCATACATACACCCAAAAGTAAAGAATAAAACAAAAAAAAAAAACGGACCAACGGACCAACACGTCTTCATCCCACTCACGTCTTCATCCTCAGATCCTCCGCACCGTTCCCGGGCCCGGGCCGAAAGCACCGTTCCGTTCCCCGGGCCTTTCAGCGGCCCCGGAGCCGAAATCTCTCCCGCGGCCTCTTCAAGGCCTGAGGACAAACGCTCGAGACGTTTGCCGGTGAGTTTGGGGGCCACAGGCGGCCAGTTTGCAAAACAAGTTCATTTGGGGAGTTGCATGGCAGATTTGGGCAGACCCAAGAAGTGTCCCCACCATCCCAGACACAAGATCCCAAGAAGTTGGGCCTGTCAGTTGCAGCATTGATCGGTCACGCGCACCTCGTACGAAGTGGGGCTCTATCAGCAATGCACATCCATCTCCTGATACTTTTTGGGCCGCTGCGCTCGCATTCGTCAGTTGCTCTCGTCAGTTGCTCGAGGTGGCCCAAAGTTAGGAAGCACGGTGTTCAGGAGGATGTCGGAAACTCCAACCGAGTTGCTCAAAAAACCTTGAAAAACCTATTGGCACTCCAACATATGCGGGGATAGCAGTGACCGTGACCTAAGATGGTGTCCCTAAACTTTGTGGGTCAGCTCCTGGATCGAATTCCTAGCACTCGTTTCGGACGTCCTTGTCATTGGTTCTGTCAACACCTTGAAAGAAGCCCCTCTTGCAAACTCTTTTGCCGAGTTCCGCCGAGTCCCTTCAACATGTTTCACAGGCCCCCCCAAAGATCCAATCTGGACAGTAACACTCAAAAACATGTTCCTTCTGGCAAGCGGCAAGGGCACTCCCTCCTTCAAGCAGATTCTTTTCAGACATCCCGTTCCCTCCTTGAGACTGCTCGAGAGCACTTGTCAGTGCTTGTAGGCAGGAGGAGAGGTCCTGGAATCGGGAACCGGGCCCAGCTGACCTTGTGCGAACATATCAAAAGCAAAAACGGTCCAAGAAGGATGCTGAAGGCATTACACCCGGGAAGATTAACATGGAGCCTGAAAATGAACATTTGGAAGACGATTTTCCTCTACAACCCAGTGGTTTTCACGTTCCATGTGAACCTGCAAAGGAGTATACCCAATATTTGTAGGGTCGTGAGGTGATTCAAACCCAACGTCTGCAGCCAGCGTCCAAGCCTGAAAGAAAAGACCTCACCAATCCATCCATGTCCGTTTCACCCCCACTTCCCTCTTCGCTGGGCTTCCCCACCGCCAGCGCCGCATAGGACTTCAGCAGCCGGGCCGCCAAGGGCGCGCCCGACACGCACGTGGCACGGCTCAAGAGCATCCAGAAACGCTGTAACCTGGGGCGCTGGACGGTCGGTCCCAGACGAAGCCTGACGGATCAAGGACACGTGAGACATCAGGTCACGACGAGGACAGCATTTTTTTGGGGGGGGGCTGCTGAGCAACCAAGAACAACTAAAAATGTCACGTGATCATGATCTTGCGAAATCCCGCAAAGAACCACAAGCAGTCAACCTTTATCCAGCGGAGTCGACAGGAGGCACAAAGCAAACATTGCTCTGGAAACCCAACGGCAATATTTTGTTCACTGAAGTAAAGGACATCCTTTTCAGGTGACCAGGAACACAATTTAAAAAAGAACGTAGGGCTTGACGATCATTGATTTGCACTCCAAAGTTCGGAGTAGTCATTGAGTCATTGAGATCCTACATCCTGAAACCCCCTGCGCCACCTCGACCGTCGGCCGCGCTCGCTCCCTCGAGCCTCCCTCCCTCCACTTGCCTCGACTCAAAAGGCGCCACGTCCAAATGGAGCAACTCCTGCGACCGTTCGGCAGCTGCAAGTCCCGAGAGTCTGGCTCTGGCTCTAACACAGCCCGGATCCAACGCAGCCGCTTGATGTAGACTCTTGATTAATAAACCCTTCCCGCTTGGATTGAAAAACCTCTTTATAATATATATATATATATATATATGAGGTGGTTTATAAATCAAAAGTCTACATTAAGCCCTCTTTGCCATCTGTTTCCTCCAGCCTCTAAAGCCCGATCTTGGGCGGTCGCCCATCCGGCTTGCTTCCCCCATGCGGGGGCGAGAAGGACACGGAGCGAAGGCCAGGTCCATGAAGGACTGCGCGGGCCCCATCACACAAGCATCTGTCAAAATAGTCGAGCACCCCGCGACGCTGCAGCAAGCAGAAGTATTTGTGATATGTGCGGTTCTTCCAAATCTTCTTGTTCATGTCTGCCACTGCTTGCTGCAACTGCTCGTACACACTCTGTGGGTCAATGACTTCTGCGCGCTCCTGCTTGTCCTTCTGCCGAGCTTTCTTGTTCTTGGACTTGCGTGTAGGGGCACACTGGTTCCAACGATCTTCTACTTCTGCCCATTCCTTTTTCAGCTTCAATTCTTGCCACAATCTCTCGAGAAGCTCCTTGCCTAGAAGTTCTTCTGAAATCCAACGCTTCATGACTTCAATGCGCCGCAGATGCTCCATGGCTTTTCCCAGTAGCTCCCGCGCCCTACTCAGCACTTCATCTTCTTCACTCTCAAACTGAAGGCAACGTGAAAAGTCCTTCTCACTTACATCCGGAAGAAACTCAGGGGATAGCCCATGCTGATGCAGTGTTGCCACAGCAAAGTCTTGCGCTGCTGAGTCCGTGGCGAAGACACTGCCTATCTGCAGCAGCGTCTGCTGAAGGAGCCACTCTTCATCGCACAACGCAGGGGGAAAAGAAAATGGAAAAGCAACACTCCGACCCAGATGCATCGCATCAGTGCGCAGGCCCAAGCCTAGGTCATCTGACACTTGTAGAATCTGCTCGATCGCCTCCGGGTCGTGCACCATGACTACGTTTGCTGACTCTGAATAGGGCTTCTGGCTGTCAAGGCAACCCATATTCTTTCCAATGAAGGCCACCTGCTCAAAACGCTCTGTCTTCTGGGTGTATCGCATTAAATCTTCTTCAGTGAAGGCCGGAAACCGCTTGCTCAGCAGGCTGCGGGGATTGACGGGTCGACCGAAAGGGTGCGAAGCGGCCCTGGCGCCAGGACTTTCCACTGTCACGCACAAGTGAAGTCCTTGGCACACTTCGATCACACCATTTGGCAGAACCCATGGAACAATCACCCGATGCTTCTGGTAGAATGTCTGGTCTGGCAGTGGGTATGCCAGAAAATCGCACGGGTATAGCATGCGTTCTCTACTCGTTCTAAAGCGGTTGTGCTCCGCTACGGTGGCCGAAATGTACAAAGGGAAGCTGCATGCCGGAGAGGAGAACTGCACCGCTCGGTCCTCATCCACCCGAGTGAGGCAAGGGAAGCTTGCGGGGCGAAGCGTGCACACCAGAAGCTTCTGCAGCGCCGCAAACTCTCGCTCGTTGATGATGTACTTGTTGTTGCTGACATACCACTCTCGACTGCCTGCAAAGCGGCTTCGCCCTATCAAACGGTCAGCCACTATGAACACCGACCGCTGCAGGTCGGGTGGGTGTTCAGGCTGCAATGCCTTGCTCAGACTTGCCTTCAAATCATCGGTACTGTGCAGGAAATCTCTCCAATACGGAGGGTCAATATTGTTCAGAGAATTCTGCCAATGAAGAGTGCTTTCCGGGTTGCGTGCCAAGATGCTCCGAGCAGCCTCCCATCTATCCAGAGCAGCTGTGAGGTTTTGCAGCTCTTTACGGCTTGGAAGATCAAAGCTCGTAGAAAGACTCAACGCCATTGGCAGGTGAAACCATCACGTGGTAACATGTGACAAACCAAATCAAAAAAAGAAGTGTTTGGAACCTACATCTCCAGCACATAACCTATGACATGGGGTCGTTGGATGCCGTTGGAATCTGCAAGCAACCAAGCCGTTCTGAACGGAGTGCAACACTTAGAGTACTTGCTGGTCCAACAAGAAAAGTTTCGATCCAACCGCTGCAGAGAATGTATGCATATTTAGAGTTCTGGGGAACCTAGGGACCTAAGTTGAGCACGACATCACCCCAGATCCAACACGGCTGGGAGTTAATGATGTTGCATTGGCCTTTTTTAGGGCTCCAGTCTCAAATGATCCAATAAACCTGTGCTCCAAACATTCTTGATTGATAACTTTGCTCTATGTTCGCTACATGCCTTGCTAATGAGGCACAAAACGAACTGCCTCCCTCTGAAAGATCTCAATGTCTTCCAGTGTCTTCCAAACACCCACTAGACTTGGGGCCATTGGAGCGTTCCTTCACCCAAGTCTAGTTTGTTAAGAACAACATCAGCCCCCCAAGAGAGATGTGCTCCGTAAATCATCAACTGCCTGGCACGTTCATGTGCCTCCGGCCATGGACATCCAATCCAAAAAATCTCCTGCACCTTCGGGTCCCTGTGCCTGAGGTCCCTTCGGGTCCCTTCCTTTTTTACTTCCAGAACCCCCTGAAGGGGTCCACCAATCACTTGCAACGAAGAAATTCACATCACTTGCGACAAAACGGATCCTGTAAGCATGCCCACTCCAATGCATCAGCCGGCACCTCCATCGTTTGGCTTTCCAAACGCTTCCTGAGCGCCCCGGCCCGACCAGGAGGCCGACTCTTGGTTCGGAGGGTGCCCGAAAACGCGCGCACGCGCGCGCGCGTGGCTCGGGTCTCTTCTCATGACGGTGCTCTGAGAAAGATCATCTTTGAGCATGTCTTGGACTTGTACCTGGTGTGAATCAACAATGAAACGTCTCCAAAATAAGAGCCCCTCGTCTATCTCTTTTCCATTGGAGTCACTCATCAACGAGATGGCGGCAACCACCAAGCTCACTTCAAACCACTCAGCTCCCAGCAAGAGAACGCCACAGCAGCTGTCCAGCACCTTGCTCTGGAGTCCCTGGGGATCTTCCCGGGGACGGTAAAGACCAAAACCTCGTTCGCCACCGGGCGCGCGCGCGCGCGGGTCGCGCGATCCGCCGTTCCGGCCATTCGCGCGGGTCTTCGAGCATCCTTTGAGCATCCACCGGCGAAGGGACGGTAAGGAGTCCCATCCACTTCAGTTCGTGACACTTGGGAGTCCCATGCAGTGACCAAACTTCCAGGCCTTTTTGTGACCATTTCCTCCCAAGACAGGGGATCAAGTTCGGTCACGAGTCCTGAAGAACCCATTTTGAAGGGGTCTTGAAGAACAAGAATCCGTTCAAATAGCTTTTGTTGGTGTCTGGAAGTCGCTAGGCCGCTAGGTGGTGGCAAATGAAAGCAACCAATGGTCTCTTTTTTGGGCAGGCCAAACAGCCAGCTAGCCGACTGCCCACTGCTCAAGCTTTTGTCCCGAATTTGAGATGAGACCCCAGAATTCGCTCAATTCATTTCGATTCATTTGTGATATGTGCTTTCCTCCCGCGGCACGCGCATTTGGCAGAAGACCGAGCAGCTTCGGACACTTTGCCAGAGATGCTGAAGGCAGCTCAGAGCCTCTCGACCCTCCTTCAGCCGAGGCTTGAGGATCTTCCAGAACCTGAACGAAACAAACAGCTGCAACTGGGAGCCCAGAAAGGAAGCACCTGCTGGTTGATGTGCCCTAGAAAGGACTGGAGACTGGTCGACATGCCAAAGGGACCAGCACCCTTCCAGCCAACCCTCCAAGATCTGTTAAGTGTTTGTTGCCGATATATGCCAATATTAAGATTGGGACTCCTCCAAAGTAGGCAGGAGGGTATCCTGTGCTTTTGCATGTCTTATCACTTCATTTTGTGGGGGGCAAAAATGACCACACGTAGACACATCGACTTGATCCATATGCCATGTCCATGTTAATATAATATTATATATATAGTGTATATATAGTATAATATAGTATATGATATGTTCTTTTTTAAGGGTCCAACACTCGGGCTCACAATCTCCTTTTTGCCACTTCACAGTCTCCCCTCCCACCGTCATAAACACCCAGGCACTGGAGGAACACCAAGAACTCCACCGGCGTCTTCGGGCGCTCGTCGCCGCGGCGCGAGGACCCGTCGGTCAGCACCTGCTCCTGACCGAGGCGAGCGCGAATTCACGCGGGTCAACGGCCCCTGAAGAGACACCAAACGAAGCTTCTGGGAATGGCAGGAAGTGGAACACCCGCAGGAAATGGTGAAAAAAAGAGAGGCGGGCGACACCAGCGGAACCAGGTTTCGGAGTCGGGGGTCGCTGCAGTTCTCTCCACCTCCTCGAAAACGTTCGGAGTCCGAGGCGAAACAGACTTTTTCGAGCTCCATGCATCAGACCTGCTCGCTGGGCCTCACAGGATGCCAGGCCAAGCAGGATATCTGTCCTTCCTCACCAAAGGAAAGATACTGTGAGAACGAGCAGCCCTGGCGGGGGCGCGTTCTCAAAAATTCACGCTGAGAATGATTCGTTCGAACAATAAGAATTTGTTGGGAAATGGGAAATCTCACGCCACGAGGCACCTGCAGGAATCTGAACCTGCAAGAGCCTCAGATAACGCACTGTACAGTATGGGCATCTGTGATGAAAGGCTTTTCGACATCCAGGACTGAACTACGGAAAAGTTACTTTCTCATACGTTCTCCGCAAGAACGGACCTCCTAAACTGAGGTGTTCGCTACGAGCACAACAGAAAAAGAGAGAAAAGGCTTCAAGCGGAAGATTGCAATGCCCTGCTCCGGTTTCCTCTTCCTCGAGAAGAAGCGGTGCGGTGCAGAGGGGCAGCGTTCGCTAGCACTGAGCGGATCCAAAAGACAGAGAGGAAGAAGATCTGCCATCACTTGTGCCATCTGGAAAGGGTCTCCTCATCAGGCACACACCAATCTTCGCCCCACCTCACTTCCTGGCGCCGAGCATGTGCTCCGCGCTTGTGGGTCACGGCGAGGTCCAACCGCCCTGGATCCAACGTCTCAAGGAACTTCTCCAGGCGCGCGACGTGGAGCGCGTGGAGCTCGACGGCACCAGCTGCTGCCGTTTCATCCATCGAGTGGAAGCTGGACTGTCGCGGCAAGGCCACTGCCGCCTTGGAGAGTTGTCTGCAGTTGGTGGGAACCACCTCCTGCTCGACCTCCGCGCTGGCAGCACATCCCATCGCTTCAACAAAACAAAGGACCTTTCTTGGCTCGACTTGAATCAAATCGGCTGCAGCTCGGTGTGTGACGACGCACGGCTGCGTTAAGAGTACCTCCCTAAACCCTTGCGTTGTCGTGAAAGTGAATCGGGTGGCCCTCGAAGTTGGCTCGCTCATTGTGGCGCTCATGGGAGAATACATGAGAATACATCCGTTTTCGTACCAAACCTCAGGTTCGGTACGACTGGACCCGACTGGCTGGCACCTACATCACAGTATCTCCTTCCTCACCGTACCTGAGGTTCGGCACAAAAACGGATCCCTAGGGCTGGGCCCTTGGCCATGAAAAAGCAGCTGCGAAAAACATGTCTCTCCCCCGTGCAGGACCCACGCCTGCGCACGTTGCCTGGCGAAAGCTTTGGCCAGGGCACGAAAGAGCTGCACCAGGAGCCGACAGGTGCCCCGCCAAAGTGTCTCCTGTCGGCAGAACAACCCGGGGACCCACTGCAGAGACGGCCCAGAAGCAGAGACGGCCCGGGGACCCCCACAGGGGACCCACCTGCAGGCAGTGAACAATGGATGTTTTGACCCACAGCGGTTCAAACCTTGTCAGCAGTCTCAGTGTCAAAACCAGCACGGAGCACGGAGCAGAATTCCCTCCTCTTCTGTACATATCCATGTTTTTAATTGTCTCCTATCCCGGGCTTCTGCCCAAAAATCAGGCCATGTTGATTGCTAAGTTCTGCTTTCACGAGAGCTGATATCAAACAGCTGGTCCTCTGCCATCATCTTTGTCAAGCAGGGAAGCAACTGGGCCTGCGCAAGTCGCACGCTCTACGTGGAATGCACTTGATGCTTCACTTGTGTAGGTCTTGGCATCTTTTTAGGGTTTAGGATTGAGGTGTTGGCATCTTTTTGTGCCCGGTCTTCGAGTTTACCCTCTTTATATCCTGCTTTCAAGTCACTCGGACTGCAAAAGGTCACGTGTACGAGGAGGGGGGACTGCAAAAAGGTCACTTGGAAGCACCTGCATAGCCCCCGATGCAGAGGGAAGGCTACTCATGGCAATCAGACCAAGAGCATGGCTTCCAAGCGAAATCATAATGCCCTAAGGATCCTTCGACCCTCCTTAGAAGGGGTCGAACCCTCCATAACAAGGGTTTGTACTATTTGTACCCTCATGTACCCTCAAAACCCTTGTTTTTGAGGGTGCGGATCCTTAGGGTGGTTAGATACACAGCCAGCGGAAGACCATCCTTTTCGGCCTTTCAACCCCCAAGTCCGATCGTCCCACCTGACTGCCTCGCATCGCCTTCCGAAGCGGCGCAACCGGGGCCCCCCCGCACCTGGTAGACCTCGGAGCGACTCTCCGCCTTCCGCTGCGGAGGGACCGGCGACCCCCCTGCGGACGCGGGGAGCGACCCCCCGCGGCCCAGTCCGCGGCGTCCCGCGCGGCGCCTGCTTCAGGCGGTGCGGGACAGGGGCGCGTGGAGTTGAGGAGTGGTTGGGCAGTAGATCCGGTGGGTCTGGTAGGTGAACTGGGTTGGTCCAGCGGGGGCGGAGAGGTGTCACGGTCCGAATCAGCATCTACTGCATCAAACACAACTGAGCATACCGAGTACGGTAAACACTCCTTGAAGAATGAAAGCATGTTCATGGAAGATAGGCCCCCTTGCAAGGCATTGATCTACAAACCGGTGGTGTTCCATTTCGATGTGAGTCTTCCTCGGAGAGTACTGATTACTGATTACAGACTGATTGGAATCCTGTGTTTCAACAAAGGCCCTGACCTCAGGGCTGAGCTATCTCAGCTCACCCATCCCCAACCCCATCCGGCCTCCCAGCTGGCAGCCAGCACCTCAAAGCCACCGAGCTGCGCCGGACGCAGCAACACTGCCAAGAGCTCCTCAAGAGCTCCCCCATCGGACCGCCGAACGACCAAACTCGCTGGGATCCGCACCACCAAGCTGTGCTATTGATGAACGATGAAGGCAAGCATCGTGTTTCATCATGAATCATCACTGACTGCGGATGGTGTGAAACATGATGCAGGCAAGCTGTACGTTCATGAACATCCGCAGTTTCATCATGTTTCACCTATTGCAAGTCTCAGCATCCCTCAATCTGAGTTGTGCGCAACAATGATGAAGCTGGGGCTGGGAAGGAGCTAACAGCAATCGAAGTGTACGGGGGATCACTGGATCTTCCACGGGATCTGGATCTTTGGATCAAGGGGATTCTCTGTGCTGTGATGATGCTCCAACCAACCTTGAGTCCCTCAACTCCCTTCAGGTCCTCCTCATCCTCACTCAAATCCGCTCCTGCATGCGGAAAGGTCAAAAACTTTACTTCCGCCACACAAAAGCGGACCGTTGAAAAAAGGACATTATATAAAGGCTATAAAAGGACAGGAAAACCATGGAAAAAAAACATGTGTCTCCCAATTATCCATCTGGATTTCTCCATGATTGGTCGAGAAATCCGATGATTCTGTCAGTCGACCAATCGTCTTTTCGTTCCCTCCGACCTCGGATTTTCGGAGAAACCAAATATCTTCCAACCAACCATGGTACTCCAAATGCCAATGCTCGCAGTGGTGGGGGCATGTTGGCAATCTTCATTAAGTGGTCGAACTGGAGCTTCATTTCAAGCCTTTTCGGATTTCTTCGAACACCAGAGATCAAGGCTCATGAGAACACCTGAAGAACCTGCGGTGGGCAGCGGTCGGTGGCGACGGTGGCGATCGGGAAGAACCCGCTTCGCCGTTCGAGGTCGTGCAACTCGGAGCTTCGGAGTAGTCCATCCCTCCCTTTTTGTTGACCAGGACTAGGAGATCTCAGGATTCGATCTGTCAACCATCTTGAAATTAAAAATACACATCAAAAAAAGTAAAACACCTCTTGAATCATTTGGAGGAGGCCATTTCCCGCCTGCCAGGATAGCTAAGGCATCCAGCACCGTCCGGAAGGCCTATCAGACGGGTCGTCCACGGCGCCAGCACCATCCAGAATCTGTAAAACGATCGGGGTCCAGGGAGGCGTCCTCAGGAGGAGATCAGTTTTAGCTCCAAATTGGTAGCAAAACCCCCTCCAAGCTGGCTGCAGCCACACCTTTCCAAGTGGTTTGAGCCCCGTCCAGTCCACGCCCCCCGAATCGAAACCTTGACATCTGTCTGATGGGTCGTCCGCACCAGCTATTACCGACCAAACCACGACCCACCTGGCGTCGGCTCGTAGCCGCTCCATGGCGCGGACCTAGCAGGTTTTGGACCCATCTCAATGTTTTGCGGAACCACTGAAGACCCCCAGGAGCCCGCTGCACCAGCCAGCTCGGCCTTCTTCGGCGCCGCGGACTCCAGCGCGCGCAGCAGCAGGCGTCTCGGAGCACTCCTGCCGCCGCAGTCTCATCGCAGGAGTCGCACCCGGGTCAAGACCCAAAGGTTGGGTCGTGGCGGGTCAAACGTCTCAGACCGGCGAAAAGGAGCGGGCACCGTGCACGATTCGTGCTGAATTTGGGAGGTTTGGGGAGGGCTCCCAAACAGCCGTGCGAACGGCTTTCTTGAAGCCTCCGCTCGTCCCTGCTCGCTCTCGGCCACTCACCCGGCACCCTTCGCTCCCAAAACGCCCGAAGCCCGCCCTGCTCTCACCCTGCTCGAGAGCGTCGAGTCACCGCTCCTGGTGGCGCCCAAGGTCTGAAAGATGGGCATGGCCTTGGCAAGCACGTAAAGTCTTGGAAAACTCTTGTGACAATTACCAGGACCCTCCTGGCCAGGCTGTTTGGAGACCCTAACAGGTGGTTTTTGGGCACCTGTTGTCACCAGGAAGCAAATGTAGAGTCGGGTCCAGGTATAGAAGAGTTCTGAATCAGTTTCAATCACATTCAACGCATACCGTAAACTGACATATTCTGTTCTTCCACTTCAACTGCTTCAAGATGTCAGAAGGCAAGTCGGAAACTACTCCCGGTTCTCTTTTCTCAGGACAGTTACGATGCTCAAAAAAGCGAGATGCACACCCCAGGCCTCTCTGAAAATCTCTCTTTCCCACGAAAACACAGCGCCCACCGGCGCCCCCGATGCCGCCCCTGGACTGCTTGGCTCGAAAAATGAATCCTTCTTGCACACCTTCCGTCCATTCAACCCACCATCTCGTCCATTTCGTCCGTGTCGTCTCGTCCCTCCTCCCACCTGCTCCACACTTGGCCGGAAAGCCGAAGGTGGACGCCTCAACAACTTCTCCTCAAAAGCTGAGCCAGCTTTCTTTCAAGCATCAAGTTGTCATGACGAATCGCTTTCCAAATCCTCTTGCCTACTACTGGAGTGCCGAAACGGGTGAAGGCAGCTGGTTTCGTGTCTGGTGCAGGAAGCATAGGATGCAGAAAATTGTGTTTCGGCAAGTACACGAAAGCCTCCGGAAGCACACATCCCGCCACCCCCGTCTCCAGCAGTGGTGGACCATCTGGCTGTTGCACTGGCAGCGACAGGAGCCAAGGCACCTCGGCCCGGAGACACAGCGGGACTGTCCTCAGTCCCTGGACCGTCGCACCATTCAGATTGAAAAGGAGAACAGGAAACCTTTTTGAAGCGCAGCTTTTTGAAACTGGACACCATCGTCCTCTCATCGACGACTCGTTCTCCGGGCCACCGTCACTTGGGGCCAGGCATGAGAGTGAAGAGGGTAGCTTACAGGCAGTAGCTCCAAGACATCATTCAGCAACTCCAAGCCTGCAAAGCCAAGCGAAGCCAAGGCAGGAGATGTTGGACTTCTCACTTAAAGGAAACACCTGGGCTTCTCAATCTCGCGCCTTGGCTCGTCTGCGGGCCCTTCTTGTTGGAGTTCGCAAGCCATTCAAAGAGCCAGGGGATCTGATGGGCCGGAGCAGAGACCAGCCTCAGCGGAGGTTGGTCCACCCTCCGAGGCGAGGGTAGACAACGAATGCCACACACATGCCACGGCCGTCAAGTGACCTGAGTGACCTGAGTGACCTGGTCTGCCAACCACCCGCAACTCAATGTAGACTCTTGATTAGTAACTCTCCCAATTGAATTGAAAAACCTCTTCATGGCCTCCTTCCTAAACCAGTTTAGGGACCGCGCGCGCGCAGCTGGCCCAAACGACTAAAACACGAGTCACTGGAGTCACTGGTCAACAAGGCGCCCGCACCGTCTGCGCGTCCCAACGAAAAAGGCTCAAAACGGTCTTCCTTCCGTTCCAAAAAGAGAAAAGAGAGGAGTAATATACTCCAGTGAGGTGCTTCTAAGGAACTCTCTTAAAGACCAGACCTGAGACCGGACCTGGGTCAAAGCACCAAAATGGACCGATGGAGATGACCGACACGTGTCGGTGTTAAACTACCACCACAGGGCCACAAGGTCTTGGACATACCAGCCTTTGGACTCATCCCCACCTGAAAACCAGGCCACAAGAAGCTGCTAGGGGCTCCTGGCCTTACTACTAGGAACAAGAAGCTACTAGGAACAAGGGGCATTACTAGTAGTAGCATTCTTACTACTAGTAACAAGAAGCTATTAGGAACAAGTGCCACGCTAGTAGTAACAGGTGCCTTACTAGTAGTAACAAGAAGCTATTAAAATTAAACTAGTAGTACCAAGACCAGGCCACAACTCCCGCGCCGCCGCCAGGCGATCTGCATCCGTCTCGTGCAGCCGCGCCCACAACCGCTGCAGCGGCACCGGCATCGCACCGGCGTGGGTGGTTCCGCGTTGTCTTCGTGTGAGAAGAACTGCAGGAGATGGACTCAAACTGGAGTTAGCTGGATGTGTGGAAAATCGATGCGCCTTTTCGACCAAAAGGTTGGGGTGTTCCCCATTCAACAAATCTAGAGACCTGCTGGACCTGCTTGCAGATCAAAAAAGACAAAGGCAAACCTCTGTGCCAAACGGCTCGTGCTTTTCCAAGGAATTGCGCACACCGCCAGTTAGACCGTTCGAGAAGCATTTCAGTCGCCCAGTGACACTGCAACCCACCCACTTACGGTCCATTGGGTGTCCCAGCAATCCGAAAACACTCCCAACAAGCGGCATGGCACGGCACGGCACGGCGCGGCACGGCTGTTGCGCCGCGGCTGGCGGGTTGTGGACGCCCTTTTCTCTCCACCCTCGGAACGCAGTCTGGCTGATGAGATCCATCTTATAATGCTGCCACCTCAAGGCACATAAGGGCATCGCTCCAGCAGAAAGGGCTGGAAGAAATCTCAAAGCCAACGGAAAGAAAATGATTTCAAAGCAAATGAAAACTCTCGCCCCCGGCCTTAGTCTACTGCAAGATCGCCAAGTCCAGTAGGTCCCCTGTCACGGCAAACCCCGTCCGTGTGTCATTTGGCTGGACGGGTTTGCCCGCTGAGGCAACCCATCCAGAAGTTGGCTGTAAGAAAAAGTTCTATCACCTACACTCCCTGAAACAATCATGGAAGTGAAGAGGTTCGGCCCCTGCAAGATCAAATGTCCACTACAGGGGAACCTGCTCAGCTTAACATGATTGTTCAAGGGAGGGTATCAACGGTTCCTTCCGCTCTGTGATAGAGCCATCTGAGTGGAATTTCTCCAGAGGACCCAATCCAGAAAAAACCTGACGTCGGATCAGCAACGCGCAAGGCTTGTAAGGGTTTGCAGCACCAATCAATCTGCACAGCTTCAGCGATTGTCCAGCAAGTGTCCATGAATCCTCATGGACCACCCAGGTGATCTTGGGGTGTAGACAGTCACCTCTGGCATCTGGAACTCAAAAAGGCTCCTTCAGCTACTGCCATGGAGACACCAGCGTTGAACACCCCGCTCCGAGTGTTGAAATCGGGATCCCCAGCTCGCCTGTTTGGAATTTCGATGATGACAGTGCCTGCACCATGAGACAAAGGATGACCATCTTGCAGCATGGAAAAATCCGCGCGTTTGTTCGGAAGATTGAGGTGCTATGCTACTGATGTTTCCCTGATGTTTGAACACCTTGTAGTTTTGTCTTCGAACTCTGAACCGGACCATATCGAGAAGTTTTTATCACAACCGACCTCCGGCTGAATCTCTATAGGCAAACTGTGGCAACCCCTTGCCCTCAGGGTGATCTCTGCAGCATTCCAGGTGCAAAGCTACTGTGATCATGGGACGCAAAGCTACCTAGTGCAAAGGGCTTTCATGCGAAAGTGAGGATCCACCATGTGGGGAGCCAAAAGGTGGTTGTTCCATGGAGTCCTTGGGTTGTGGAGCTTTGGAGGTCTTATGCTGACGGGTGCGACTCGTAAGGGAATAAGGGAATCGATCCAGAGAAGCCTACAGGGGTGGTTCATTCCCTCATTCCCTACGAGTCGCACGAGTCTGTATGATTTGTGAATTCGCCTTTGATAAAGCCATGCAGCAGCAACTCGACGCCTTGTCATCATCCGGGCCACGCTTCGAGCATGTGACCGTCCCCAAGTTGGTGCTCACATTCTTGCCAGTCTTATCCTTGGAAGCGTGGCTTCTCTCCGCATCCGATGAATCTCGCAAGACCAACTCAGCCTTTCTGCGGTAGGCGTTTCATGATGCCTTGAAATCTGAACAAAGACTCTTCAGCGCGAAACCTCCAAGCTTCAAGCACACTTCTCGGCGTCGGTGGACAAATACAAGTGATACAGATTGAAAAGGTTCATACTGTTTAGGGTTTAGGGATGTTTACAGCACATGTCAGTGCAAATTGCCTTGAAACGGTGTGTTTGGTCCCTTTTCTTCGGGGAAGATCTCCGACATCTCGGACGGTACCCCTCTTCTCGCTCTCGCTCTGCTCGCTCCACTGGGCCCTCCCAGCTGGGTAGATGAGGTTGAAGGCCAAACGCACCTTGGGATCTCGCGCCTCTGGGGCCACATCCTTGATCAAGTCCGCCAACCTCGAGTGGGTCGAACACCCCCACCGTGTTCCGTTCGAAGACCCCAGTTCAAACCCGGTCTGGGCACCGAGCCCTGAAAGGTTGCAACGGGTCGGTTTGGTGGTTGAAGGCTGGTGGCCCCGTGAAAAGCAGCCGACTGGGACCCTAGACCGACCCTCTGCAGACCCCTCCATCCCAGACCCCCATCACCTCTCCCTTGCATGGCCCCTTGGGGTCCCAAGGATGCAATGCTTGGATGGAATATCGCATGGCTGTGGAATGGAAGCCTTAGATTGATCTTCGAAGACTGGATGGAACGCCCCCGAATGCGAACGTGGCACACAAACAAGAAAACAACCCAACTGGTTCATGACGACAATTCACATGGTCACCAGGAACGGCCCTTGAGAGTGGTAGATAGTAGATAGTATGTAGATCTGCAATTCCATGGTGTCACCGCAGATGGTTGATAAACAAATGTAAACAGTCTGACTCGAGGGTTGGAAAATCAGACGAAAACACTGGTGGATCCGAGATTTCCTGGGTCATTTTCAAGGCAGGGAATACAAAAAGTTCACGGCTTGCTTCGAGTCGAGCACCATCTCTTCCGTCTTTCTCGCATCACCGCCCAGCAGCTCTCGTAGCGTCACATCCGGCCAAGCATACACCTGGGAACGCTTGAAAGCGGGCGGGCCGGGACGGAGACCGCCGGTGGCGAAGGTCGCCGGGGGTGGCGAAGGTCGCACATCTGACCCTCACTGGTCGAGCACGCCTGGAGCTCGCAGTCGACGGGCTCCTTGCCACGCTCGGCAAAGGCCTTGTCGCACTCAGGTGAGCGAAGTGCATGGAAAGAGTGGCAGAAGGGCCACACCCTCGACCACCAAAGCGTTCAAGAAACTTTATTTGCACGCCCCTTCCCTCCCTTTTGACGATCTTTATTAAAGAAATGAGACAAACACATGCAATTATACACACAAACTGTATGATGTCGTCACCAGGCGTGGCGTGGTCTGAAGTCTCACTCCACTCCCTTGCTCAACCTCTGTTTCCTTTGCCCCGAGATGGCCTCAATGCCGTGATGAGCACCTGCATCAGGCTGACAGGAACAGGAAGACCACACTCAAAGCTCATTTTTGTTCAGGACAGCCGATCACTTCGGAAAGGTCATTGTATAGTAGTTTTATATTTGTGTAGCAACCTACCGATGATTTACTCAAGCTCATGCAATGCGCGTTGCCCTGGTCGAACTTTGGACTGAAAGGCTCATGCGGCAGAAAGCTGTGAGCCCTCTTCTCTCTTCCAACACCAAAGGCTGCGGGGGGGGAACCGGGACCAGGTCCAAGATGCAGGGCTAAGACGTTTCTCGTGGCCAGCTCGGCAGCTGCGCCTATCTTTCGGAAGATCCGCAGCCTGTGCTCAGTGCAAAAGAAAAACCTCAACAGCAAATCCCTGACAGAACCTCATTCGACTGAACAAAACGGTCCGTTCCAAAAAAAGAACGAACTTCACCAAGCTCATTCCTCACCCATCAGTGCCGAGCCGCAAGAAGGGACAGGTGCGTGAACGGTCCATGGTCTTGCGGGGTGGAGGCAAGATGGCCGCCTTGCCCCGACCTGCGACCGAACCGGGCGGGTGTCCCGCCACCGGGCGGGTGTCGATCCTGAGCTCCCGTGGAGCGAATCAACACACTGAAAACCCCAAAGCCAACCCCAAACTTCCAACCAAACCACTTCTTTGATTGATCTATCCTACCTGGCCCTACCTACCATTCCAAGACATGTGGTCCGCTCTCCTTCTCCACCCCCACCGCAAGACCGCGAGACCGCGCCTTTCCCCTCCATCGGCTCCGCGCCACGCGCGCCAGGCACCGCGCCCTCCGCGCCGCGCGCCGTGCCGCGGTCGTACGGCCCGGGGCGCGCATCGCGGGCAGAAGCCACGGAGGCTCCCAGGGCGCCAGACAAGTTCCTCAGGGCACCAGCCAGGGCGCCTGAGATGGACTCGGTGGACCCGTTCAAAACGGTTTCTTGCTGAACTGACGTGCATGGATACATCGAGTTGGAGGCCCAGACCATGAAAAAAACACAAGTACTCTACCCAGAGTATATGGACCTCCGTCTTCCAGACTTCCAGTGATCCCAAACGACCTGCTGCTCCCTTTCTTCGCCGGTCGCGAGTCGCGCCTCCACGTTCTCGGTCCCCATCCTAAGTGACTCCCCAAGGGTTCGACCGTCCCCATGTGGTCTGGTGAAGGGCTCAACCATCAGGTCTTGGCAGCCCCTGGTGAATGGACATGGCTATGCTAGACTCCTAGCCAGCTAGACTTGCATTCTTTCTTCTTGCAGTCTTTCTTGGGTGGCAAATGTATGTTTAAGGCTGAGGCCTTTCTATATGGCAAATCAGAGTATGAGTATGACTTGGATATTTCCCATTGCCAGGTTTCAGTGGATGATGAATTAGTTGCAGGCCTTTCTCTAAATTCTAGAATAGTGATAGTTGTTGACCGACAGCTACTGGTACAGGTGATAGTACGGATCCAAAGTACCAGTTTCAATGAACCCTTTGGGTTGCTCTCCAACTAAAGCAGTTCCATACACTCCCTGGAATCATCATGGGCCAACGTGGAGAACGCAGAACGCCCCGAAAGGGTGAACTCCACTTCCATGATGAGTGTACACCTCCCAATCCAAAAGTAAGAAAAGCAGTGAGTGAGACAAGGCAGGACCACCCACCCAAGCCTGCAGCCAACTGACCAACTGATGGCAAAAACATCAATCAACCAGGAGTCACAAAGGGTGGGAAATCTGGATTTCACTCCATCCCGCCTTGTCGCGCTTCTCTTCACGCTTCTCCCGTCGTTCCCGCCTGTCCTGCCGTTCCGTGTCGGGCATCGGGCGTCGGGGTCGGTGTGTTAACACGGCAGGGGGTCGGTGTGTGAGGTCTTCTGGGCGAAAGATGGAGTGAAACGATCCTGCCGTTCGTGTCACCGTGAACGCACAAATATCGAGGCACCATGAATGGATCAGGGAAGCTTCTCCAAGAACGGGGAAAATGCGTGACCCATCCTCTTCCCGGTCATCGCTGTCACTTTCATCCGATGGCATGGCGGTCAAGTCAGACTGATGCAAGACCTTTGCAACTACCTTCGCCTGCTTGTCTGCAAACCTATCCCTCAATGCCGCATGAAACTGTCTGAAAAAAAAAAATTCCAAGAACGCCTCGAGCCAGTGGCGCACGCACCCTTGCAAGCTTTCAGGCAAACAATTAGAGCATGCGTCTCTTCATCTGACATAGGTACTTGATGGTACTTGTACGCTCTGACTTTTGTAGGTTGCAGGCTAAGTGGTTGTTTGGTGTTGTTTCCGTACAAAGTATGGAGCAAAGCGCTCAAACCTGTGGCCGCTACTACCGCATCCATAGAGAATTTCCATAGTTTTCATGGAACGGCTGCCAACTTCCCCCCCTTGACCGGAAAATCCGGAGAGCATTGCGAATGTCCGACGGTCTAGAAGCCAATGTTAACGTTCGTCTACAAAACATTGTTGCTTGTGCGAGCTGAAAAATAGCCTTCAAGGGGTGACGTGTTGGGCAACGAAACCACAAGCAAAACAGGTGTAGCAACGCAAGGTGGTTCCAATGCTATGTAGGTTTGCCTGAACCAAAAGGGTGGTGCAACGTGAACACCAGCGAACGAGATGGTCCCACCACAGGACCGTCCAACACCGCACCAATCGTTATCTCTCAAAAGGTAGCGGTATGTGTGACATGGCAAAAGGGTTCCCTGGTGGATTTTGGGCCAAAGGTCAGGTGTATGGCAAACCTGGTTCACTCGGCACACCAAAAATGGCATTCAAACACGAAAACTGACTTGCCCCCAAGGAATTGACTCGAACATGACCTTGGTAAGTGCATCAGCTGATTGTGCCTCGCTGTGCACCCAGGACCGTGGTGTTCATGCGGCTGAATGATTCCAACAGACACAGCACTCCGAACGATGTAAACTTGTCTTTGAGGCCTGCACTTGAGCTGTTGAGATCTTTCTTCTGGAGCACGTCATATAGAGTGCTTTGGCATCAATGACCAAAGCGGTGGGAATGCGACCCACTGCCAATTCCACCTTCTTGAGGTCCACGGGGAGTACATGGTTTCTTGGTCTGTCTCGGCTAGCGGCCAAAGTTTCTGTTTCTGCAGCCAAAGATGGCCTGGCTTTGCGGGGCAATTTTGATGACCTCCATGAGATGAAGGTGAGAGGCGCTCGATGGGGTAGGTGTTGCTGCGAACCGCCGGTCGCTCTCAAATCTCGTCGATTGGCTAGGGCAGCATCTGACCATCCAACGAAATGCACCTGTTTTGGATCTTCAATGCGCAGTTGATTGATCTTCGTTGTGATGCGTCGTGACTGAAAATTGTCCCTCACTTGGCGGCTTTCAAAGTAGCCACAGTGGCAACAGAAATCTCACATTGCAATTGCCCCAACTTCGCTGAGATCAGGGGTTTGGTTTGATGAGTTCGCCACTCACACTCACTCTCACTCTCTCTCTCTCTCTCACTCTTGCTCTCACTCACAGTCACTCACACTCACACTCACACCCACTCACTCTTTCACTCTCACGACTCACGCTCTCACTCTCATTCTCAATCTCAGTTTCACTGTCGTTCTCACTCTCACTCTCACTCTCACACTCTCTCTCTCTCACTCTCACCCTCACTCTTCTCACACACACTGCTTGGGGTCAAGGTGTAAATAGGAATTTCTGTTCGGTTGTCTGTTTTCGTTCTTCCTGGCCTGTAACTCACTTATACGTAGCACAAGATGACCTATACTTATGCGTCTCCACCCGTGCAAAAAATCACACGATCGGTGCCTCTGTATGGCAAATCAACTTCAGATCGTTGATGGCACCAACACCTTGCTCCGGGTGCGGCACTGGCTCCGCATCTGTTTGAAAATTGCCCAATGCTCTCTTCCAGGTGGCAGGGCCAAAGTCCATCGCCATCACTTCTGGTATCGCGGACCGCCACAAGGGTGTTTCATCATCGGGACTCCACCGCCTCACACTCCCCCAAACCAGTTTTCCCTGGCCTGTGAAAACTACAAAACGCTCACTATGGTTGACCTCTCACACACAACAATCAAAACCATCCACGAATCCACCTTTTCATGCTGTGTGAGCCCACAACACACCAGTTGTGCCACAGGTCACCATCCGCACGCGCAATCGATGCAAAGGTCAAACAACACTTCGCAAGACTGCTGCCTGACTTTTGAATGTCAAAACATGCACAAAACATGCACAGAGTGTGCTGAGAGGCCGTTTTGCGTGATTGGACGCCCCGTTTTGTTTCACCTTCCTCGTCTTGTTTCACCCTTGCATGACCATAAGCAAGCGTTCGGTGGCTTGTGGTGGCCTGAGGGGAGTGGACATGCCTGAAAAACCTACTCCCTTACGTAAGTAGATTACAAACGTCCTAAACACAAAGCAAAAGCACGTGCAACAACTCACAAGCACAGCGAAAGCACTCTCGCACCTTCAAACATGGCTATGAAGGGACATTCCTGTAACAAGCGATTTCCATGCGAGATACCGAAGGTATCGAGCTTAAAGCATTCAAATATGCTGACAAAACTCTCAAACTACAAAATCTACCAAAAACTCTTGCTCAAAACAATTCCAAATACAAAGTTCTGGTACAGAACGCTTGCTCAAGCATTCCAAATGCAAAACCCTCATAGCTAAAGCTTTACAAGGCACTCAGACATGAGCTCTACTGTTCTCAAAACAGTTGTCCTGCAAACATTTGGTTGTAAACTGACCTCGCTACGAGTGTAGCTCGGCTATACACTTTCACACCCCCTTTCGAGGTCAAGTGTCAACATCATTCTGCGGCTTGGGACTTTCCTCACGCCTCGTCTTCAAACATCTCTTACAGACATGAAAGCGCGACAAAGCACGGCCTTTGCTGCAGAAAGGTGTAAGATGCAACACTGTTCCTTTCTCAGTTCGGTAGTATGAATCGTGCATATCAAGCCAGTCTGCGAACACTGGTGGTACCAGATCGTTCACCTCAACGCTCATATCTCTCGCGCTCTCCTTTCCCACTGACTCAAGCTTCCTTGAATCGACAAACACCTGCGCTGAGCGACAACAAAGCTTCGCCAGAATTCCTCCAACGAACATGCCACTCACGAAGATGAGAAAACATAAAAGCTCAAACTCTCGCCCATCCACATAAGCAGTAATCACGGCTGCCTCCATGAACGGCGACGAAACGCGAACGCGCACCCAAATAGCTGCGGACACAAGCAGTCAGCTAGCACAGCAAGCACAGCGAGCTTGAACCACACACAAAACAGAATAGAATAGAAATTGCATTCTCTCTGAATCTTCAGACCTCCATGGCTTTGCCAATAAGACCATCCAATCTCCGATTCCGATCTTCTCATCAAGAGACATTCGACCAACCTCGAAAACCTCAGACTCATTAAATCTATCTAATTCCTCTGGCCTTCGACATTCAACGCTCTTCTCAAAAGAAAACCTCGAAGACTCAGACAAAAGACACTCTCTCTTTTCGCGACGTCCTCTCGACTTGATCGACGGAATCTGTGCTGCAAAAGGAGAGAAAACACCCTTCATGGTGATAGATCCATCTCAGACCTTTCTCAATCCGGCAGCATCCGCTCATGCATGTCCAGCCTCACTCCTCAGAAACCGAACGAAGTATCGAGCGAACATACAGGTGTATCGTTCTGTCTCTGTCCAATTGACATTGTTGAAAGCTGCGCGCTCGACAATGCACTGACACTTGAATCTTTCCGCTAACCTATTTGCGACTTCCTTGCGGTTCGACATAAACCTGAACCTCTTTCCGACTGGTTGTTGACTCTTGGTAAACATCTTCATTGAACATCCATTTACGATGCCTTCAAACCCTAGATGCTGGTTCGACAAGACCTTCCTCAAGACCTCTGACTTCCAGTACTGATTATTGGCTGGTAGTTCTAGACTCTTAGATACCTGGCGGACCTGGCCATAGACTTCATCCACCTTCTTCAAAAGACAATCGCCTGAGTTAGCTAGTCCCTCGAAGACTTCCACATGCCTCTCTCTAGACTGTTGACGGAAGTTCAAGATTGGACTGCCTCCAGTACACGGTAGAGAAACATGAACATGAATTTTGGTTCCGCACTCAGATCGACGGTGGGCCTCTGGCTGGATCCTGCGTCCCTGACAAACAGAAGAGATAAGTTCAATGATCTCTCTCTGAACTGCCTTTTCCTGAAGACAATCATGACATCCGATATAAGAGACTCCAACCTCCATACAAGCCTGCCTCAGACATGTGGATCTCAGACAATGCTGATCTCCAGGTTTCTAAACCTTTCAGGTCTTTGTTTTGGTTGCCAGCTAAGCTCCTGTACAGAACTTGAACTAGAGGAAAAGCTCCAAACATCAAAGCTTTTTTTGAAAATCGATACACTGCACTTAGAGCATTTCGTTTTCCTGGCTTGAAATCATTAAATCATTAATTAATTAAGTTGGTCTTTTTTGTATGAGAAAAATTACTTATTTGAAAGATCAAACTTAACGAATTAACGATTTAACGATTTTTTTGGGCTATCTATTTTGACTTCAAATGAAAAAATGTTGAAAAAATGATTTTTTAATAAGAAACAAATAGTGTATACCGAGAGGAGTTTCAGCTACTACTACTACTACTACTACTACTACTGTGTCTGCAAAAGGTTTGTTTTCTTTGGTTCAATGCTCGCTGGAGTTGGCTCGGCCTCTATTTTTTCCTTTGTCGATGGCTTCTGGTTACAGCTTAGCTGTTTGCCAGCAATTGCCAGCAAGCCACAGTAATGAGAACAAAAACGCGCCAAAATAGATAGCCTTAAAAAAATCGTTAAATCGCTAATTCGTTAAGTTTGATCTTTCAAATAAGCAATTCTTTTATACAAAAATGACCAACTTAATTAATTAATGATTAATGATTTCAAGCCAGGAAAACGAAATGCTAAGTGCAGTGCATCGATTTTTAAAAAAGCTTTGATGTTTGGAGTTTTTCCTCTAGTTCAAGTCAATGTCACACTTTCCGGTAA